ATTTGTGGCGTGTTCACCAATTTGAGTCATTTCTTCTTAAGCTGAACTGTGGTCATAAAGGCGGACTTTATGAGAGGGTGGAATAAGTGTCAGCTCCACACTGGCCCCCCGACTCTGTGTCAACTCTATGTTTTGACTGCGTGAAGCAACTGTCTGCAGCCGCATACTGTGTACAGTTCAGCATCACAATAAATTCATGAAAGGGTCCTTAAGTGCCAAAGAAAACATAAACGCAGCTCTGGAGTGTGTTGTTACACATCGCAGGACAAGTTGGTTATAATCTGCACAAACCGGAAACAAACAGACCAAAGTGCAGCTGTGTGTTCAACGTCAGAACATTCTGAACATCATGTTTCCAGTGGTATAAAGGTAAACTAAGGCTTTGTCCGGTGCGCTGTGTGTGTCAGAGGGAGTGGCCTGCAAAGTAGCTGTGACTGTGCTTTCCTGTGTGAATGCTGTCACCTTTAATGAAGATGGAAGTAGCTGGTGTTACTGTTGTGAGCTGTCAGGAAGATCCACATTCCTGCCATGTTTCTTGCTTGGCATCATGTTCAGATGCGCGTATAACCCTCGGAGGCCCGAGACTTGAGAAGCTCATTAGCGTTGTACAATTAAACAGCCCAGTCAACAGAGGAAAATATTGACATTGTTCACTTTTTGCAAAAAAAAAAAATGGATACCTTACATTTTGTAAGTTTCACATCAATGTTTCTATGGAGACAAAGTATATGAGCTGACTTTGTCACTGGGAAGTGGTGGAGACGGTAAGGGCGAGACACCTGCCAAGCTTCACATCACTGTTTGAGCACAACAAACAACAAAACCGGTTATATTTTAGCGAGTCATCGCAGTTTTTCCAGCAGCTTTTTAGCCACCACCTATGGGTGTTTGTGGTGACCTGTTGCTGTTTTTCCACCACTGTTTTTTACAGAGAGACCACTACGTTTAATGCCAGGAAAGTGCAATGTAAAGCAATTATTTTTTAACAAGACATCACTGCGTTTCCAGGTGGGCTAATGCCACGAAAAGCATGTTTTTTAATGAGAAATCACTGATCCTGCCAGGATTACACCATGGTTGTTTTTTACTGGGACATTGCTGTTTCCTGCCGGGATAGTGCCACGAAAAGCAGTTGTTCTCCAAAATATGATCTTTTCCTAACTATAACCAAGCACTTTTTGTGCCTCAACATACCCATAATATTGTTGAAACATTAACTTGTAAGATATTCCCTACATTATTAAACACAAATATGTATCCATAGTTTTCAGAAACATGCAATGCCAGCATTTTTATTTTTGTAACTGCGTTGAATTAAATGCATCTGTGAGGTTGTATTTGCAATGTTGTCCCAGCCACAGTGGTGCCCCGATATGTAGCTATAATATAAAATACCCCTTTTTCCAGTGTAAGGTGGTGGTATTTCTGCGTATCTTAGGAACATGTGAGCAGATGCTGCATTGTGAGATGCAGCTGTAGTGAGGATCTTGGTATTACAAAAAAGGCAGCTTGGAGATTTGGAAAGCTGAGCTCCTTTGTGGTCTCTTGACCTTTATCTCACACAGCATTGCCATGGCAACCAAACTGGGTGCCGCCAGCTTGGGTTGTGGTACCTCATCATCGAATACATTGCTAAATCTCTCTATCGTAGAGAGACATGGTGGTTACATCTCCTTAAAAACATGAATCTCAGGCTGACTAAAGGAATTTAAAAAAAAAAAAAAAGGAACGAGGAGACACAGCTTAAAGGCTGAGGAAGGAAAAATGTAGGAGAGAAGAAGAAAAGACAGAGTTTAATTGCCAAGCATTAAAAGCCCTCATTGAGAGTAGAGATGATAGTTGTGATAGACTGCGACACAAACACAGTGCTGCTGGCTCTCTGTAATCCCTTACAGATTAACACAGTTCATTACACAGCTCATTGCACTTGAATCTAGCGCAATATACAGTGTTGCTTTGATCTGACATCCACCTCTTATTTAAATGCACGATTAGCTGCTGGAATAACAAATAAATATCATAATAACTTCTCACACAATATTTTTATATGTTTCTAATAGATCTAATCTTATGGGAGGACTTTATCGCACTAGTTTATCTGACATCCGCAGCTGTTCATCTAACATCGTGCCAACTCTACCTTTATTAATTCCCTGTTAATTGTGCGGTAGGTGTAGACGGGTGTGGCTCAGACAAATGCAGACTCTGTCCAGGAGGGACGCTCCACCATCTGGTGTAGGAATCCCCCTCCCAGCAGGCTGTATGGGTGTGTGTGTGTATATGTGTGTGTGTGTGTGAACTTCTTCCAGGCTAATTAGAGTACAGCCGCAGTTGTACACTACACTGTTAAACACTGTTGTCGCTGTTTGACAGGCTTGACAGGGAGGGGGGCCGAGTCGCTGTCTGCCAAGGCCATGTAGGGATGACAACGTGATGTGTTTCATGATTACATGTGGTTTCAAGTCTGTGTGTGAGTGGAGGGTGGCAGATCAGATCAGCAATCCCCTACCTGCTTTCTTATCTTGAGTCTGTCAAGATATCTGTGGCAGGCAAGTTTGTTTTGTCGACTTACAACATTCAGATCCTTTAGACATCATTGATCGTGAAAGAATGCTGCCATTCAGTGTTCGATATATTTGCACAAAAATATGCACAGTAAATTCACAGTTTTGAATAACACTGTGGCTTTCAAGGAGCCTTATTTTTCGGGGTTGCGTGAATGCGCCCATATACGTTGGTAAGCAAGACACGGGAACTTTACTTGGGTCTTGAGGAGCTGTAGTGTTTATTCATGCACAAGCTGTTTAATTTCTTTTCTTCTTCCATCGCCAAGATGCTTGCTATGATCCACCGTCTCTCAAGCAAACAGTCGCTACGTGCTGGGCTATTCCTCTACACGAAATTGATGCATGAATTTGAAACATTAATCTATGCGTGAATGTATTGGTTAGAATTTGGTAAACTTCAACTGTAAATCAGATCGAATAATGTTTTATCAAGCAGTTCCAAGCGACCTTCAGATGTGTAGCTCTGTCAAATCATACACAAACTTTGCTAACGTGTCTTTTCCTTGTCCGTACAATTTTAGCTGCCTCTGACAACAGTTTAATTTGGCAGCTGGCGGGTGCTATTTTCAGACTCTACCTGAGATGCATAAAGATATGATCTGAATTCTTCTGTTATTCACCCTATCTTGGACTGGATGTGATCTGAGATTGCTAGAAATGTAAATTGAGCCTTACTTGCCTTGCGGCTGTTGCTGCATAATTCCCACATTGTGCGCTCCGACTGCCGTGAAAGCTGCTAACGAGAAACACCACATAGTGATGCAGAGGTGATAAAGCAAATCCAAATATGTGATTTTGGGGAATGCCAATTTAAGAAATTAAGGTTCTCCTCATTTTTGACAGTGTAGGTGAGTGACCTGTTGGTTTCGCTGAAACCGGCTGATAAAACACACCTTTAAGTCTCATCATGATGAAAGAGAAACCAGGCAAAGACTTGTAGCGTTTGAACTGGAATGCCGCCTGTAGTGTGAGAATGTGAGCAGGTGGTTTGACTCACATGACAGGAATCTGACGTATGTCTCAAAGTTCAATCTGCACCTGCCTTTGCATCGCACCGCCTTTAAAGCATTCTGCGCCTCCCCTGTTGACAAATAGACAAGTGATGCCAATGCCAAGGACAGAAGAATCAACATCTATTACAGTATGTTGAGTACAGTTATTTGCCTGTCTGACTGTCATGTTTCTCATCATCCTCCAAGGCAAATTGACAAGGACGTGATGCATGAGTTATTTCTGAAAGTTTCTCAGGTGCACTAGTCTAGAGGTCAGCTTATGTGAGGTCATACTGGTCTACTGGGCTCAGAGGAGACGAGCAGACAGCCAGCTTTTTAAAATGTTAGTCATGCTGCTGTTCCATTTTCATGAGCTGTGTTGCAATCCCCAGGACCAGCCTGCCAGTTTTGCAGAGATTCGGCTAGCACTACCAAGCACACCACGTTGCATCTGGACTGCAGCTTATTCCCTTTCTCTTTTCTTTTCACTTAGAAAATAAGACTTTGAACCTTTCCAAGCTGGTGGTGTCAAGAGGAGCAGAATTCATTTGATGAGACTTGTTGCTTCTTGTTTAAAATTGTATGGTAGTCATAAAGGGATTTCTTTAACCCTAATTAATCACCGTCTGATCTTCTTCTTCATCTTGATCGTCTGATGTTTATGATGTTTTAAAAAGTTTATGAGATTTCATCTGCATGCTTCACAAGCTGGCATCATCAAACACACAACATTCAGCCGCTCCCTCTGCTACCTTTGGCCACACACCAGGTGCCATTCACTTCATTAAGGCATTTGAGACATGAACAGCAAGTGAATTTCCTCCATTCCTGCATAACTGCTCTTGAGTTGCAGTAACAGGATTAACTTCAAAGACCTTGCGGTTTCTCACAGTGAAGCTATGTTACGGTGCTGCTGTGTGTCTGTGTGACTGATGACAGTCACCAGAAATATTGACCTCACACAGTCGGTCGCGGTGTCATCTGGTAAAGCCAAAATCAACTCCAGTATCTGCACTGGAGCTGCACCCCAGAGCTGTTTACATGAGCCAGTGGGGAGCTAATGGTGGAGAAAGTGTGTGTGTGTGTTATGGAAGTGTTTTTGTGCATTTTATGGAAGGTTTGTTTAGCGACTTAACATTGTTGATATATAATACCCTGCAGTGAAATCTTTGCAATCATTTACTTAAAGTTATCCACTGTGTAGCAGCCAAGAGAGCACTTATCAGGGATATTGCATTGCTCTTCAGGGATGTAAAGTGAATGATAGGCTTTGAGTACTGTCTATCCATCATATCCAACAATATCACAAGCCACAAAAGACGACCATAAAGCCAAAATCAATTTAGCTATAAATCAAACAGAGTCCAGTGCTTCACCTGTGATTATGATTATTATTATGTCTTGAAACCACGTTTATGTTTCCCTCTCCTCCTGTTTACAGGTGTTGTGCAAGACATCCAGCGGCATTACGGAGTGACAGACAGTGGAATCGGCTTGTTGCAAACAGGTAAGTCTCTTTTAATCCTGTAATTGCAGGTGTGAAAAAATGTAGCTCAAACCCGGAACACATTTTCCATGTGATGAAGGCAGGCTCGGACTGGCCATTAGGCAATTCTGGCAAATGCCTGATGGGCCAGACCATCTTGCGGGCTACAAGGCCACCACCAGTAATGTTGAAAAACCTACCTATACTGTAAGGCAGGTGCAGTGGTACTGGTCATCATCACCTCTCCCGACACCTTCAGTTGGATCGGTCTGTCATGTAATGTCAGAGATCAAGTGGGAAAAAGATTAAATCAAGATGGAACGAGTGGAGTATGTGAATGAAGACATAAATTAAATAGATAAAGGAGCTAAATAACAAAAAGGAGGAGCAGAAAAGGTCAGAGACAAAAAGAAAAAGTCCTCAGAGCTGATGCTGCAGAGTAGCTGGTAGAGGGGGCCGGTCCAGAGGAAAATACCCAGGGCTGAATTAATTTTGTTCAAAGTCTGACTCTGGATGAGAATAATTATTGTGTAACTCTGATATTTTGGTGTTGGCTAAACTGGGTGGAGCAATGAAAGGCAGAGGCTCTGACCCCGAGTCCCAGTTAACAGCAACAATCCTCTTGTTACACATAAACAATAAAAGGGGTTTTACTTTGATAGATATATTGGCAGCCCAATTTACAGGAAGTAATGGTAAACATTGTGGAGTTGATTTACACAATCAACCCACTAATGATTCACTTATACCTCTAATCTTTCTCCTGAAGGTGCTCTTATCATAGGATTTAAATATAAACCAATAAAAACTGGCTCAACTTTGCACCTTGCTTTAAAATGCGCCTCATGTCCAGATTGTATCTTGATATGTTTTGACCTGATTATATTTACACTTGGTATTAATATGTGTCTCCAGTGTGCACACTGAGATCCATCCAGCTCAAACAATCAAATGGTTGTAGTCGTTTGCCACTATTTGCGTAGCCATTGACTCATAAATATCTTGGCTGCAAAATGAACTTCCAAGATTCACTGGTATATTTTTGTCGGACCAAATTAAAAGCAGACACTTGGTCTTCTCTTGACTTTGGCTCATAACCCCCGCAGCCCTTGCAGTCCAAACAGGCCCTCTGCCTGTCAGCAACTATTACTGTAAGAAAAAATAAGTTTTTATTATTCTTAAAAATAATAGAATTGCTCTAGGTGCACATTGTGATATTGTCTGCATTTTCAGAGGCAATATGCACATAAAATATCTTTGCAATACGCATCAGAGTACAGTGTTACCGTGCTCCCTGACAGCTTTAGCATCGGATGAGGGTGAGCCGCTGCTACCTCGCTGGTTTGGAACAGTTGCACGATTACGCATTTCCCATATTGTCGTTGTATGTGGGATAAAAGCACAATTCCATTTACACTTGTGTTTAATGTGGTCACAATGTGTCCCGGGCAACTTACAGGGGTTTGGCCGATCCAATCACAACCCAACCGCTGTGCATTTTGGGTGCATTCACAGCTGTAGTGTCATGTGGTCAACCACTTTCCGACTGCGAACCCAAAATGTATAATAATGTAAGGTGTAAAGGGGGTCTAATATTTGTTGATCTTTTTTACATTTTACATTTACTATAATATCTGTATGATGTGTTTGCAAAGCCAAAACAGACACAGATTCTTGTTGGTCACATTCTTTTAAATTACAAGATATAACACTACCTCATTTTAAACAGAAAAGGTGTAGAATTTATTTGCATGTACATTGATTGAAGAGTATCTGAATGTTAATTACCCCAAATTTTTAAGTGTTTGCACATTTTTTCATTCTAAATGTTTATAAATTAAAGCTGGTTATCTTTACTCAGCAGCGCTGTATCACAGGCTTAATTGAGGGAGTGATATTTCCTCACAGCAGCAGCAGCAGAAAGGAAAACATCGTCAGGAGCCAGGCAGGCTGTTCTCCTGAGAGCCTGCATGTATGCACCCAGTGCGTCTGAGGACTCTGGCCTAGGGCAGGGTTTCCTGTTCCACTCTAGACCCCAATGAATTCACCTTTTAGGGAGATACCTTGTGCGGCCCTCTCATTGGAGGACAGGACCCAGTCTTGTCTCCGTGTGCCCTCAAACTCATTCAGACACCAACAAACTTGCACACAAAGTGCCATTGAGGGCAACCAGGCAGGTTTTGAGTTTGAGAGGGGGGAAGAATACAGCCCAGTGTTTTCCTCCTGCACTTGATGTTCTTAGACTAACTTTAGGTGAGCTGAATGGCGTGGTGAGGACAGAAATATCCAGCGGGAAAAAAGAAATCAGTGTTCTGTTGGCGTTTTTAGTGAATAAGCCATTTCATCAATTCCAGATCTCATTTCCACCCAGTTTGACTGTAGCATGAGGAATCCATATTTCACTTTTCCTATTAGAAACTCCTTCTTCTTTACACTTTTCTCTCTCCTTCATCTCCTTCTTCATGTTTTTGTCAATTTTTTTTTTTTACAGCAAAGATGAAATAGTCTGGTGTTTCAAAGCAACTTTTTCATATGACGCCTGTGCAGACTTTTAATGGTGCTGATGTGCAGAATCAAACACGCTTCATTAGTTTTTCACCATGAGATTTGTATGAAATCTTAAAACAGGAAACTGTGAAGGGTGTTTGACTCGTAATTTTGTTTGCATTGGCTCATTATTTGGGTTATGCACACTACCGCACCGGCACAGACTCACACACACTTAAACACACACACAGTATGTTAGTAGAGGAGCACGTGTAGCACACAGCTGGCCAGGCTAAAAGCAGGGCTGCTGTGTGTTTGGTTTGCCTTGCCTGTCCCGGCCTCTTATGGTTCAGACTCCGCTTGGCCCCTGATCCCCAGGCGACCTCTTTCTCACACTGGCCTGAGGAATGCTGGGTGTCCGGGCCTCGAGCTGTGAGAGCGGGTAGGCCCAGACAACGAGCCTAGGTGTGAAGAAGAGGTTAAGAGGTTGACGTAATCAGGGAGCTGAAAGGCAGAGTCTCAGTGTGTGCGTGTATTTGTTTACAGTATGCACATACCTTCCGGTTTCGCCCACCCCCCACTTCCGTGTCCAGAGGGAACAATCCCTGCCTCTGTGAGCACCTGCAGGCCAGGCTGACTCTGCCTTCCCCGCTCCCTCTGTCCTGGCAGAATCACGTCCACCTGGGAAAGCAAACTGCCAACGTAGGTGTTTTACAGGCGGTGGGTGTTGCGTGCGCTGAGGCTTTCTCTCTTTCTCTGCTGCCAGGTCACCCTCACACTGTTAAAAAACACTAACCACACACTGCAGGATCCAAGTCGTAGAACAAACACACGGCTGAGTCAGAACCACTTTATGAACTCTGTTCTGGTTCAGATTGAGCAAAGGATAGCTTTGACCCTTTTCTTTGGCTCCTGATCAGAACTACTGGAATGAAAAATTTCCCATATCTAGAAGTTACTGACAAGCTGTTTGCTTCTGGGAAACACTATCCTGGCTGTGTACTAGAGGAGCAACTTAGACCTGCAGCAGTGTTTCCATTTTGATTGTTGCACTCCCAAAATTGTCTATATTTTGTCTCTTTTTCGACACTTATTGTTATTTTCCAAGAGCAAGCCCACAATCTGTGAGTGGCATTAGATAATTGTAGTGGTTTCCAGTGAAGTGCAGTAATGAAGTGTTTCACTTTGCTATTATCCACAGAAGAAATATGCCTCTCCCTAGCTTGTTTGAAGATACTGATACTCATTTAAAGGTCCAGCGGTTTAGGGGGAGGTGAAACGTCATCTGGTTAGAATTCCTTCTGTGTTCATTGTTCAGGAAGTTTTTACTGGTAGCCGAATTACCCACAGAGGTGTCTTCCTCCAAAACAAACAAACCAGGTGATTAAAACCAGTAAAAACACCGACTAAAGAAGTTTCACATTAGAAATCAGCGTTTCTCAAATGCATGTCGGAGGTGCTATCCCAACACCTGCTAATGTGTGCTCAGCTTTTTTCTCTGATGACTTCCAGACGTTCAGAAGGTTTCTGCTTTTTAATTCAGCTGAATTATCTGCAGAGAGCTCTTCCCCTCCAAGAAAATAAAAAGTAGAAAGATCACACCTCCATTCTCAGGAAAGAAACATAGGTCTTGAGACTGAATGTCCTGGTAAGATGAATACTTTCTGCAGTTTGGTGGGTGTGAACTGGTGTTTTCATGCTAAAGGACAACGCACGGAAAATACCCTGTGGTGAGCTCAGCCTCCGCAGCACCAGCTATTTCTGTTATTTGGCAACTCCAACCCTTTCAAAAGCAGCTTACACAACACAAATTGACATAAGGTATGTGCTCACTTCTATTGTGCTTGTGTTCGTGTGCACATGTGTCATCATTGCCTGAGGAGGCGAGGTCTCAGCTCTCTGTGTAAGAGGATGAGGTGTTATAGCTGTCAGTCAGGTTGGGGTTAAAGGCGTTGAGCCTGGAGCTCTCCGGCCCGTCCGTCAGCATGCCGACATGGTTCTCACCTGAGCTCAGCAGACCTGTCAGAGCACTAGAGTTCTGCTCTCCCACTGGAAATGACAGGCCTTCGTGCTAATGGCCCCCGAGCAGCAGCTAAGTGAGTGACGCTCACACACAGCTGTGAACAGGACCAGTCCCGAGGGTACAGAGGGCACCAAGGTTAATGGAAGAGAGTAAGAGGAGAGGGGGTTCACCTGGATGGTATTACCTTTGGTTGGGGGGAGTTTTGAGCACTTTTGTTAACCAGAAGGAGAAATCTGAGAGATGGCTTTCTCCTCCTGTTAACGTGCTATCATTATTGTTCTGAAGTGCTCTGAGGCAAGTCAGAAAAAAAAACTCTTAATGGGTTGAATTATCCCTTACAATGGGAGCTTGCGTAGTAATTATCCGCCGCTGGTTCAGCATGGAAGCAGAGTTATTGGGGTCAGTCCAGCTGGATGTACAGTGGGGCGGCAGCTTAATAAGGAGCCGGCGCTCAAAACAGCTCGCAGACTGTCTGTGCCCTGTTCTGTGTGTGGCTGCCCACCTTGTCTGA